CCCCCCCCTGAAGACGCGCAAAAAGGTAACGGAGAAGAGTTTTTTAGTCAGTAGAAATCTGACATACACTCACTTCGACTCAATTTAAGACGTTTGAAACTTCGTCGATGACTTAATCGCTTTAAAGCTATCAAGTTTCTATCGTGATGGAATCCGAAAGTTGCTTGATAGGTGATGTAAGGTCATCGATGTTAACGGAGAATATTTCAGTGATTAATTAACGTATTCATTTTATTGAAAAATAAAGTAGAAGTTTGCGAAAAAAGCCGACATGAATTAATTTATACACTTAATATATAATAATGTCATAAAAAATAAAATATTAGGAATACTTCTTTTCGTCTGTTTCTTCTACGATCAATATATTTTCTATCATTAGTAATAACATATATTGTCGATTCGAATTGTGTGAATTACTCTTACAAATATAAGCAATACAATACAATAGTACACTTACAAATATAAACAGCAATTTTATAATTAACACTTTCGCTGCGGCGTACTCCAATCAAAAATGCTCGCTGCATACTACACGATATTCAATTGTGTGACACTGAGACGGAATAATATAATAAAAAAATGTTAACCAAAAAATTCAAACAAAGTGCCATACGTACACAACGTTCGCAAATGCGAGCGATTTTCGATGACATATATGCATATCGTATGCAATTAAGAAGATATTTTTCGGGAACGTATATATACAGCGTGTACAGCGAAAGGGTTAAATAATATTATAATATAATTTTGTAAAATATTAAATATAAAAAATATACCTTAATATATTTGTCTGGAACATTTCTTTTCTTAAGTAATTCAATTAAACCATTAATATCATTGTTTGCATGTTTTTCATAATGAAGTGCATAAAGCATCACAAGTCTAACAGTATCAATATCTCGTATTTTTTGATTATTGATGAGTGTTTTTATTTTCTGTAACTATAAAAGAAATAATTAATAACAAACGACAAAGATAAGATAGAACGGTAAGTATATAAATAATGCCCTTACAGAAAAGTATTATTTGTTCGTGAGTAATAAATTATTATATCTCACAAAAAAACCTTAATTGGAACATGCAGATCTGAACCAACTTTAAGTTTGTAAGGCGGGGGCTCCCAAAAATATAAATGTAAAATATTGTTGATGGCCAGCCGTTCGAAAGTTATTAATGAAAAAAAATTTCAGTGTTGCACATATGCCAGTGTAGCAAGACGGAATCTCGAAACAGAGCGTGTCAACGCGATAGGTGCCTGCGAAATCGTCGGTCCGCGTTCGATCCCTTGTATTTTCTCCCGTTCTCCCGTTCTTTTTCCAAGTCCTTTTTTTCTTTTTTTCTAATTAAATAATATTTCTTTGATTCTTTTTAGAGCGAAAAAGCATTAAAAAAATAAGTAAATTTGGAATAGTCAGCATTTATTGATTTTTTATATAGTGTAAAGTTACGAGTTTGATGAAGAAATTTTATTAATTATGGTAATTAATTTCCTCTTATATAAATATATTTATTAAAAACGAATGTGATTTGTCGAGATAATATTTATATCTTTATATATGACTCGTGCTCTCGACATAATCTATATAATTGGCGAAGTCTCATCTATATGTAAAAAACAAACGTTCTTGTTCTCGTATTTTTTATTTCTTATAATCTATATTGTTTTTTATGTTATCTTCTTATGTCTTCTATATTTCTTAAACCTTCTTATCTTCTTATGTTATCACGTATATATACGAGGGTAAGTAATTTGACAAATTTGGTAAATTTCCATAAGATAGCGCTACAATTCATAAAGTGACATTATTACAGGCAAGTATTATTCCTCAAGCGACCTCTGTTAAAATTTCAGCCAAACGCATAGTTAATATTTGCATTACCAGTGTTGAAGACTGTTTATTTTTGGATAAATGTACTGAGGATGAATTGCACTCCGGACGCCCAATTGAGGTTACGACAAAGAAATAATTGAAAAAAATCTATGATATCGTAATGGAAGACCGTCAAGTGCATATGCGCGAGATTGCTGAAGCTGTAGGCACATCTAAATCGACTACTTTCGCATTTGCCGCAACAATGGAAAAAAATGAGTTTCGTGTGGTCATAAAAGATTTTTATTTAAAGAAGTTAACGGCCACGTAGGTCAAAACTGAGTTGGATGAAATTCATGGGGACTCGGTACCAGTGTTGAAGACTGTTTATTTTTGGATAAATGCACTGAGGATGAATTGCACTCCGGACGCCCAATTGAGGTTACGACAAAGAAATAATTGAAAAAAATCTATGATATCGTAATGGAAGACCGTCAAGTGCATATGCGCGAGATTGCTGAAGCTGTAGGCACCTTAACTGAACGGATGCACAATATCCTATATGAAAAAATGAATATAAAAAAGCTGTCTGTGCGATGAGTGCCGTGATTATTAACTGTTGACTAAAAACGCACTCGGATATTTCAATGCAGTGTTTGGCAATATTCAATCACAATCTAAAAGACTTTTTGCGTCAATTCGTCACTGTGGACGAAACTTGGATCCACCACTTCACAACAAAGTTCAAACCAGCGATTGAAGCTAGTATAAAAAAATATTATTTTCATTTCTGATATTTTTCGATATTATATAACAACCGAAAAAAACCGATTTGTGTAAATACTGGTATAATAAAAATTTCGGTATAATGCCGGTATTCGACGTCCAATACCGTTATCAATACCGTTGTAAAAAATTTTGTATAATACTGGTATTATAGCGGTATTATTATTATGTTATTGAACGTAAATGAAATCAATAAGATTCATAATGTAATCATGATACATATTTTACAAAAGGATATAACAAAGAAAATAACATGCATTGTCATGGTAATCGCGACGTCTGGAATTATAAGATATCCGACTATAGTAGAAATTGTGGCTCCGTAAAGGTCCACAACGGAGTGCTCTGCATTGACCGTTTCGGTTCTTGATGGGATAAATTAGGCTAAAGGCCCAAAAGGAATGTCGCAAAAAGGAATGAATTGCACTGATATGGCTAATCTACGGAAATGAGGCCTCTCACCACTCGTTCCCAATCTTCTTGCTTCATCTTCTAGAAGTGGTATTGACCTCTATTGGAGAGCGAGTACATATCTTCGGTAGAAAACAGAGGAACGAACGAGGCAAGATAATCTAGTCCTCCTAGAGGGAATTGGGCGTCGGGCTAATAATGTGACACACAAAAGTCAATTGTTAGGAAACGCAAGGGAATTCAAAGCCGGATGGAATCTATCGTTGACAATCTTTGCAAGAAAAAGGCTTATGATTAAAAACTCGGCTCCTGGAACGTAAAAACAATTTATCGGACATGTGTAATAAGGGAACTAGAAATAGTACTCCTGAAGTATGGAATAGATATCACGGCATTACAAGAAATCCGATGGCTGGGAAGCGGAACGATTCGTAGAAAAAGTTGCGATGCGTATTACAGTTGCTATAAATATAAACACGCTTTGAGTGTAGTGTCATAGACTGTAACTGTGACTGACCAATAAATAAAAGACTATGCCATATAAAAATCAGAACTAGATTTTATAACCTAAGCCTGATAAGTACACCTGCTCCAATTAAAGACGCTGAGAAGAATATAAACGATACTTTCTACGAACAGTTAGAAGCACTACATAGGAGGTGTCCAAACCATGATACTAAAATCGTAATTGGAGATTTCAATGTAAAGATTGGTAAAGAGGATATTTATACGGATGAAGTTGATAAATATAGTCTGCACGATGAAACTTACAAAAATGGCACCAAGTTAATAGATTTTGCAATAGCAAAGAATATGATAATAAATAGCACCCGATTCCCAAACGCCAATGTGCACTAACCACTTTCACCACATCATCAGGTAGCCAACTAAATAGACCATATATTGATTGATGCGCGGCATGCTTCTAATATACTGGGTGTGAGATCATGTCGAGGAGCAACATCGATTCTGATCATTGCATAATCCCCCAGGGGCCGTAGCGCTGTGCCTACTCTTCTGCGGGCACGCCTACGGTACGGGAATGACGACCCCAGGGTACCCAGTCAGATGCTGACTTGTGTTGCTACGCAATGCAGCGGCTTTTGAGGTTCTGAATCCCTTCGGGGACATTGAATGATGACAGAATCCTCTAAATATGAGAGGGCTACGGCCCTCCGGGATTAGTACTTTGTCTACGTTGTTGGCATGAGGAGACTACGGTCTCTGATGATTAGTGAACACCCACTCTCGAACGACTTTCTGTCTCAAAGCCTGAAGGCATGCGGGGGTTTTCTCTCTCTCTTTCGCTCCCCTTGCGTAAAGGAATGACGACAAAACCTTGAACATATATGAGAGAAGCATAGCCTCTCAATGATTAAAAATTGCCCGTTGAACATTACCTTGTCGTCGGCATAAAGAAGCTGCTGACGGCTTCTCATGATGCGATAGTCGTCGACATGGTGGGCATGAGGAGGCCGCACTCTGCCGGCCTCCGATGATTAAACGTCCAAAGGGTGTTCACCCGCCAACGAGTCTCGTATTATGAGGATGCTTCGGCGGCCCATGATTACACGAGACATTATGCAGAGACGAGGGAAAAGCTCTGTCATTTCGGAGCAATCCGAAAGGCATCCTGCGCTGCATCAATGGCGCATTCGCACGTAACCCGTTGGAAAACTATAACGGTTAGTGGGCAACACCCTTAATTCGATTACCCGGCTAAGACGGGCAACTAACCTTTTAACGGGAATGAAGTTCGGCTTACGCGCAAGCATAAGCTCGGATGAGAGTCAAACGTCCAACGGAAAAAGATTGGTAGACCTCGGGGTCGGAGCGCAAGCCAATCTTCCCCTGCCGGAAGATGCTCCGGCGTATGCGATAGGAGGTGAATCGGTTCGCCTAAGCGGGACTGGGTTCACCTCGGCCCCAGTGGTCGACAGGTCATTGCGGTGGAGTTAGAGGCCCCGCGACCTGCGCCACTGGCGTCGTCAAGGCTGGCAGCTGGTGCTCACTGTGTGTCTTCGGGCCAATGGGTGTCACCAACGGTTTCGATAGGCAAGGACCTACGAGCCGTAACGGTGACCTAGATTGTGGATGGCGCTAGTCGCGTGTAGTCTATTGGCTGAGGTCGCATGCCGCGGCACGCTACGCGTGCTGTCAGCTCACATTAGTCTGATCATTGCATAATAAGAGCTAAATACAGAGCAGGAATATACTCCGACAAAACCTGTCGAAACTAAATAAATAAACGGTTTAATGCCCACATTTTAAAAAGCAAGGAATTGATTGCGAAGTAAACTGAAAAAATTATTTTAAAATTAAATGAATTGACATCAAACTCAGTCACTCAGCCAGAAGAACGTTTGGCAAGGTATTCAGATTATATCAGCAGTCGAGCAAACTTTAGGCACGGTAAAAAGACCAGTGTATGACAATTGGTTTGATAAGTGTGTGCGAGTAATTAAAGAGAAAAATTCTGTATAGCTGACAATAAAACAGAAACGCAATACCAGAGCGGCAAGGGAACAGTATAGAAAGGAAAGAAGTGCTAATAAAATCATATATCGTGAAAAGCAAGAACTCCAAGACAACTGGCTAAAAGTAATGAAAAAAGAGAACAAGAAAAAAGAAGTGCATAAATTTTACCAAAAAGCTAGCCTACATGGGCTACAAATGGGTAACTTCATCACAAACTTAGAGGACATTAAAAAGCTCTGGATGGAGCATTTTAAGAAATCCTCTTGGCGAAAGCAATAGCACGAAGCTAAACAAGGAGAGACTAATTGGACAAGAGGAGAATGAAGAAGATATTGTCACTGCTCCAATTTAAATGAGACACGGAATGCTATACAGAACTTAAAGAATAACAAAGTTCCTGGATCGGATAATATTTCGCCGGAAATGATAAAATATGGCGACGGAAAGCTACAGAGGAAAATATACAATCTGCTGGTCGAGATCTGGGGGAAAGAAATAAAACCTAAGCCTGATATGTCCTATCACCACAAAAAAAATGATAAATTGGAGTGCGGTAATTATAGAGGTATAAACCTTCTAAATATTGGCTATAAGATTTGCCATGCATACTGTGTAAACACCTGAAGCTATTCATAAATGACATTATTGAATCGTACCAGTGTAGTTTTATGCCTGGGAGATCGACAACTGATCAGATTTTTGCAATAAGGCAAATTTTTGAAAAGACCAGTGAGTTCCAGATGGAGATACCATCTGTTCATCGATTTCAGGGCCATATATGACTATATAAACAGAAACAGTCTATATAATGGAATGAAAAAGTTCTGTATCCCGCAAAAACTAGCAAGGCTGTGTAGGTTGACAATGGACGACGTTGTATGTGCTATAAAGTTTGGAAGCGAAATTACAGAAACATTCAGAACAAAAGTTCAGAACAAAAGTGAGTTTTCGACGAAGTGACGGGCTGTCGGGGTGTGGTTTCTTTAATCTATGTTAAGAAAATATAATAAGAGATATTGGCTTTAATATTATATTTCAGACATTATATACGAGGTCTGTTCAAAAAGTATCGCGAATTTTGAATTTCCGCGGGTTACGTATATTCGATTTTTGATTTTTTTGTGGCGTTGGTACTCATGTCCCTCACTTATGCCGACAAGTTCGGCCATTTTGAATATTCAGTTTATCTTTGACAGCTGTTTTGCTTGGACGTGTTTTGGCTCGTCTTCGATTTTTGCCTATTCCAAAAAATGGATCAAAGAATCTGTATCAAATTTTGTGTGAAAAACAAAATTAAGTGCGCGGACGCATTCCGAATGTTGACTGTGGCATATGGTGAAGCTACCTTGGACCGTTTATCGGTGGTACAAAATGTTCTCAGAGAGCCGAGAAGATGTGAACGACGAAGAGCGTGCCGGACGCCCGAGCACGTCAACAACAGACGAAAACATTGATGAAGTGAAGAAAATAGTATTGGCCAATCGTCGAATCACCGTTAGAGAAGTTGCTGAGGACCTAAACATATCGATTGGCTCGTGCCATTCGATTTTTACTAATGATTTGGGCATGAGACGGGTCGCCGCGAAATTCGTACCAAAATTGCTTGTGCGCGAATTTTTGGCCAAAAACAACACACTAATGATGCCGCAGCCACCGTATTCCCCAGACCTGGCCCCCTGTGACTTTTTCTTGTTCCCGAAACTGAAGAAGCACATGAAAGGACGACGCTACGCTACGATTGAGGAGATAAAGACGGCATCGAAGGAGGAGCTGAACAAGATCACAAAAAATTATTTTTTGAAGTGCTTCGAAAATTGGAAAAAACGTTGGCACAAGTGTATAATATCTGATGGGGATTACTTTGAAGGAGACAAAATAGATATTCATGAATAAATAAATAATTTTTGAAAAAACACAAAATTCGCGATACTTTTTGAACAGACCTACTACATACATATATACATACATACATACATACATACATACATACATATCAGGTCGTTCCATAAGTTCGTGCCGCGTTGTATTAATATTTCTCGCGTTACGTTTTATAATTATAGAACAATACAAGAACTTGGGTAACTAAGCTTTTATACTTCAGTTTAGTCTGTAGAAGGCATTCGAGAACCACAGTGAAGTTATAAGAATTTTATATTTAATACTCAATAAAATAATGAGTGAAATACATGTCCATTTTCAGCATCTCATGCTATTTGAGTTCCGAAAAAGAAATACGGCAACAAGTGTAGCAAATAACATTTGTGCCGTTTATAGGAAAGGTGTTTTATTAGCTCGTACATGCAGAAAGTGGTTTGATCGATTTCGGAAGGGAAATTTTAATTTGAAAGGTGAACCACGTGCCGGACGTTTAGTCGAGGCGGACGAAGACAGAATTCGTAATCTGGTGAACAAAACAAGGAGTTTGTCAGTATGAGAAATGTCGCAAATGCTAAACATGTCAAAATCGTGTGTATATAGACATTTAAAGGAAATGGGAATAGTGCAAAAGCTGGACGCGTGGATGCCGCATCGATTTACAGAACGTAATCACCTTGATCGCGTGGCAACGTGCATATCACGTGCTTGCACGTAACGAAACG